TTCCCCTTGATCATGCCCTACCAGGTCTCCCACCCCCACCTCACCACCAATTTGGATCGCTTGTGGTTCCCTTGTCTCTGGGTTTGTTAACACCTGTTCCCTTCCCGCCACCTGCCCCTCTCTCATGTCCCCCCGGAACTTTCGGTCCCGTTGTTTTCTCCTCCAGATTGTTCATCCTGTGTTATTTTTAAACAGAAAAATAAGCATGATCATAAGCTCGGTAGGTTATTGATTTCTAGATATACCCATTCTTGATGGAAGTAATTATGTGCCTAAATTCTTTTTCTGAAAAGCAATTCTCTCTTTCTCACCCCTCTCTAGACACACACACACACACACACACACACACACACTTGTCATTTGTCGATTAGAAAACCGAAAAGCCAAACTCACTACCATTGGGCTGATTTGGACTCGTTGCGTCTGTGTCAGACAGAGTACAACTGTTTGTGTTTCTAAGACTTTAAATCTTCATGGGAGCAGCTGCCGAGTTCAAATGTCTGACCTCATGCTTAGCAGTTCAGTTAATCATCCATCAGCCTTCTTAGAAAGACCGCTGTACACATTGAAAGCACTAAGGTAGTATAATTTAATCCTGGGATACATTTCAAATCACCTTGCTAAGTAAAACTTTTTAATCGACCAAGATTAAGGAAGGGATGAGATAGGACAACCACGGACATAGGTGGAGAGCTGTCCTTTGGCTGGGGGAGGAATGCTGCTTCTCCAGAGGGGCTCGATGAGGTGAGACGGGAAGCCTAGGCCAGAGGAGGAACCCTATTTCAGCTGACTCTGACAATGAATGTAGTGATAGATAGTCTTTCCTGGAGAATTGCTCTGCACAATTTTTTCCAGCGAGAAAAATGGAGATGCATGTCACATGTAAATTTATTTTTAGAATAACAAAATTGTTTAGAGCCTCTCCGACTCTGAAAACATACTGCTACAGAACGTGAGGTAAATGTTTTCTTTTGAGCACACATGTTGGTGAAACAAATGTTTCCCATTGGACACCGTTGGAGTTGTTGGGATGAAACCAAGTCAAATTCATAGCGTGCCAAAACATGCATTTATTTTGCCAGTCAGCGGCCTATATGTTCAAAGGCCTGTCCACCAGGGCCGGTGTTTGTTGCTTTTGTTGTAGGAGAGCTGCCTCCCAAGGCCCCCAGACATGTGTCCGGTGCTTGTGACCAAGCTCTCAGCAGTGCTGCGCCTTGACTCACAGCTGTGGAGGGGGAGCTGGGGCCCTGGCTGACGTCACTGCTTTCCTTCCAACGAGGTTGCCATGGCTTCCAGAATCCTGTGCTAGCCACAAAAATGCACTGAGGATGCAGGAACAGCTACTAAGATCCGGCTCAGCCCATGTTACTTATCACCCTCCAATTAAAATCAGAAAGAAAAAATTGTGATGAAGGGAAGTCAATTTTTAAAAAATCCAA